CTGTGTGCTGGTAGCCATGGCAACTAGCATCATGCTCATGAGGAATCCTGAGAGCAGCAATGATGACAATCAACCTGAAATGACATGAACAGGAATAATAGCATACCAGGGTGTTCTTTCGTGAAGATTTTGGTGGATTTTGCCTTCAAGTCGAAGACACTTGATTTGGGGAAGCTAGACCAGGAAAGCATGTTCAACAGAGTTTAGGGCTTCGGACGGGCTTCAGGGTGGGGTCACAAGTGTCTAGACTCGCTGCCTGGATTCGTACAATCTTACCCGTTATACCATATCCTCATCCCTAAACCCTACTGTAAACCATGGTTGGCTTGCACACCGGATTGGGTCTTGATGTGGGGCCCTTCATAATTAGAATGTGGTTTTGGGGCCCATTATACTACAACTCTAATAAGGAACCCCCAGAATAGTATTGGTATTCTTTTAGGCCCTTTCAGGGATCCCTTTAAAGGAACCTGATAATTCTTTGGGCCCTTATATTGGATGCGTCCCTGCTTCGGCCTCCACTTGCCCGTGAGAGGCGGGGCTCCCGCGGAGTGGTGGGTCCTGGCTGTGCACTGGAAGGATCATGGGACTTAGTAAGTGGGGTTCCTTAAAGGGATCCATAGGGTTTAGGGTTTAGGGTTCTACTTGAAGGATCATGGGACTTAGTAAGTGGGGTTACAAATCAGGTAACTATACTTACAAGTACTGATAACCCCAATGAAGGTACTTATAACCCTACTTACTAAGCCCCATGATCCTCTAAGCAAGGAAAGTCTGCTGGCCTAGGAGCTCAGGGAAATTGCTTATACTATAGCAAGTTATATTGAACCAAAGTTTACTTTAAAAGAAATTAGGATCCAAACCTGAGGGTTCTGGGATCCAAAATGGTGGTTCCAGGATCCAAGATCGAGGCCCGGGGCTTCAGAATTGCTTTTTTGCTTTTGGACGGTTCCTTTTCTCCCTGTTACAGTCGGAAAACCAAGAGTTTAAAGCCTAGAGAAGGCAGCTCAGCATTGTTCAGACTTCTGTTAACACTAGCAGGTTGCCATTATCTTGACATGTAGATCCAGCTTCTTTCTCTTACTCTTAGTGGTAGTAGTGACAGTGGCAGCGGTAGCGGTAATGCCATTAGTAGCAGTCGTCGTAGCAGCAGCGGCAGCGGCAGTAGCAGTCGCAGGAGCGGTGGTCGTCGTCCTGGTAGCCGTTGGCAGGGGCAGTGGTATTGGTAGTGGTACTGGTCGTAGCTTTAGCAGCAACAGGAGTGGCAGAAGCAGTAGTTGTTGTTGAGTTTGCTGTTGTTGTGAGTAGTAGTCGTCGTGGTGGTGGTAGTGGTAGTGCTGGTTGTGGTGGTGGTAGTGGTAGCGGTGTGGTAGTGGTAGTGGTAGTGGTAGTGGTAGTGGTACCGGTAGTGGTAGTGGTAGTGGTAGTCGTAGAAGTAGTAGAAGCACAAGAAGTAGTAGAAGTAGTAGAAGTAGTATAGAAGTAGAAGAAGTAGTAGTAGCAGCAGCAGCAGGAGTAGTAGTAGTAGTAGTAGTAGTAGTAGTAGTAGTAGTAGTAGTAGTAGTAGTAGTAGTAGTAGTAGTAGTGGTAGTGGTAATCGTGGTAGTGGTAATAGTGGCAGTGGTAGCGGTAGTAGTGGTGGCAGTCGTAGTGGTACGCACCCCCGCCTTTACCAACTACCTCTCCTTAGCATTGCGACCACTTCTTAGCACAGAGGGTGGGGGGATGCCACCGCTCTGGCTGGCGGTTAGAGAACGCAGGTCAGCCATGGCCAAGATTAACTGCTTCGCCGTTGCTGCAGCTGCTGCAGCAGCAGAAGATAGCAGAGGTGCAGGAGGAGCAGTTGTAGTAGCACCAGCAGCAGGAGTAGTAGGAGCAAGAGCAAAAGCAGGAGTTGGAGGACTAGGAGCAGGAGGAAGGGGGGGCAGCAGCATTTGCAGTAGCAGTGAATGTGACGTGACAGGGCAATAGCGGTGAAAGCAACAGTGGGAGCAGGAGTGGGAGCAGGAGCGACAGTGCGAGTGGGAGTAGCAGCAGGAGAAGCAGCAGTGATTGGAATGAGTAGGAGTAGGAATAATTCGTAGGCATAGAAAAGGCAGCAGATTCATCGCAAGTCAGGTAACGCGGTCCTGCCACGTCCGCCCTTGGGGCTCTTTCCCGCAGCAGCTGCTGCCTGAGGTATGCATTTGTCTTGCATCATGCAAGGTTTACGTGTGTCCTATATTCTTACCATGTAAATGCATATTAAGGCGGGCATTCGGGTTAATATTTACATGCAGGTTTAGGATTTATGGGCGGGTTTACGGGGCATGCTTGCTGTGATCCCCGAGTTGCGCTTCACGTAACCAGTGAAAACTTTCACACAGAGAGAGAGAGAGAGAGAGAGAGAGAGAGAGAGAGAGAGAGAGGAGAGAGTAAGATAGTAGAGAGAGCGAGAAGAGAGAGAGGAGAGAGAGAGAGAGATGAAGAGAGAGAGAAAGAGAGAGGAGAGCGAGCGCGAGAGCGAGAGCGAGAGCGAGATCGAGACGGAACGAGAGCGGAGCGAGACGGAGCAGAGCGGAGCGGGAGAGGGTAGGAGAGGAGGGAGAGGGAGGGGAGAGAAGGAGGGGGAGGGGGAGGGAAAGGGAATCGTGAGAAGAGAGAGAGAGAGAGAGAGGGCGAGAGAGGAGAGAGATAGAGAGAGAGCGCGAGCGAGCGCGAGAGAGCGAGAAGCGAAGATCGCGAGGGATAGGGAAGGTAGAGGGGGGTGAGGGGGAGGGAGGGAGGGAGGGAGGGAGAGAGAGAGAGAGAGAGAGAGAGCGAGAGCGAGAGCGAGAGCGAGAGCGAGAGCGAGAGGGAGAGGGAGAGGGAGAGGGAGAGGGAGAGAGGGAGAGGGAGAGAGGGAGAGGGAGAGGGAGAGGGAGAGGGAGAGGGAGAGGGAGAGGGGGAGGGAGGGAGGGAGGGAGGTGTAGCTATGTGTGTGTGTGTGTGTGTGTGTGTTTTAGCGCAATTTAGGATACACCATGATACAGAGGGTACATAAGGGTGGCCTCTAGGGCCTCTGGGGCTTGGGGTGGCCCGTCCGCGGCTTCGGCCCTCCCACACGAAGCTCTCACACCAAGCAGTACAGTACATGGAACGACAAGTAACCTGCGACTCTCCCTATCTAGATGTTCTTGCCAAGTTGCACTTCAAGGTATTGGCGCTGCAATTCCTCAAGCTGCTGCTGTGTAGTCAATAGCTGACTTTGTAAGAGTGCCTCGTGTCTGAAGCACGCCTCCTCCGTGAGATTCTCTGCTGGTGCCGGCGGGCCGGTGCGAGTCACAGGCTCAGCCACCAGCTCCCCCGTGCTACGGTTGGGAGCTTCTGCGATCTCCGAGCTGGGCCAGGGATCTGAAACGGCAGGCCCAGGGGGAGGCGCGAAGGCTTCCGCTTCCCCGAAAGAACTCGAGGACCGATCCCCGAGGACCCCGCAGGGATCGAGCAAAGAGCTGGCTGAGGCGGGAGCTGTCATGTCATCTGCCGACCTCTGCTGCCTTCTGCTGGGACGTGCCAGGCGCTGGGGCCGCAAGCCAGGATCCCCGAGAGCAGACCCTCGAATCGTGCAATCACGCACGGAAGGCGACAGAGACCGCGGATGCGCGAACATCTCAATGCGGGGGTCGACCACTTCTTCACCAGCAATAGAAATATTACCGCTCTCCAAATGCAGCGTGCTACCGGGTGACAGGCTCCGGCGACTCCGACCGCGGTCTGGACTCCGCAGGCCGTTGAGTGCACCGCTGGTGTAAAGGGCGCTGGCCTCCTGGCGCGCCCGCTCCAGCCAGGCCCGTAGCTGCACCGGCGCACTCAGGGAAGCGGCCTCGGCGCTGCTTTGAAGGCGATCCGTGAATCGGCTGGAGCTGCTGGTGGGAGATGCTTTCCGAACACAAGTCGAGCTCGAGTGAGGCGTCTCAGGCATTGTATCCGAGCTCTCTGCCCGCGTCTTTCGAGGCGGAGTTGCTTGTGATGAGCGGGTGGGGTGGCTTCGGCTTGTTTGCGGCTGCCTAGGAAAACTCTTTTGCCCGTGGTTGGGCAAGGGCATGCTGGCACTGCTGCTGCTTTTGCAACTCGTGCCTGCTATGCTCGCCGCACTGGCGCTTGGTGTATGCTGGGGTGGTTGCGGTGGCTGTTGGGGCCTGCGGCCAGGCCGAGCAGGAACCTTTCGGCGCAAGGTTCGATCTGCACGAGGCTCTGGTTCGGGCTGGCTCTCGGCGTTCGTTGGCTCGTAGTGCCCTCGATCAAGCTGTGGTACCTCCGCCCGTCGTTACTCTTCTGCACGGACATGGACTGAGATCGACACACATTCGAATCCATGTTGCAGGGTCTCAGACATCTAGCCAACAAGCGATGATGAGGCTCAGGCCGTGGGGACTTGGCCTGAGATGCACAGCAAGACGAAGCTGCTAGCAGATCACGTCACATCATGTAAAATCAGATACACGTAAGCTGTCTGCCGATTTTAGGAATGTCAGTGCACAGGTGCGCACAAGGACACTTAGGTGAGACTTGATAGCCGTGATATGGGTTAAGGAAATATGCAGCGTGATGCCTGCATGCTGCCTCACACGCGACGGTTGGTCCCAACGTTTTCTGTTTGTTGCGAATTTGGAGTGAGCTGGTTTGGCAACGCAAGGCTTGTACAATGAACTTGTGCAGGAGGTTCGCTCGCCTTCGGCGCTCGGCCTCTCTAAGCACATGATGAGCGTTGCTTGGCCGGAGATTGGCCAGAGCATTCTGACATAAAAGATCTAGCAAAGAGGCTGAAGACCCGGATTCTATTCCTTCATTTACACCATAGGTCCCAACCCACCGGGTCGTGCCAACCGTGCTGAATCAGGTTTTGCCAGGAAAGGATCTTCAAAGAAGGGCTTCCCTGGCGAGTTCCGGAGAACCAAAACTTATGAATTTTGCAGGTCCGGCTGAGTAGCCTTCCTATCTACGCTAATTGCATCCGCAACACCCTTCGCATCCTTGCTCTCCTAGGCGGCCTCCTTCGCATCCAGATTCACAATGTCCGGCTTCGAAATCGAGGCATCCTCCTCCTCGTCCTCACCTGGAAGGCCGTCCAGCTGCTTCAGTTCATCCTCGGTGAACATGAACCTCATGGCCTTGCGGATGATGGCCAGAGAGGCCATGAAGAACGGGAACACCACCGACGTTTCCTTGATGGCTTTCAACCCATACAGAATGCCAAGACAGATGACCTGGACGACGGTGTACAGGTGCACTCGGCTGATAGGCAGCTTCTGGATGTAGTGGTACTGCGGGTACTTCGCCGGGTCCCAGATGAGCCACAGCTTCAAACGGTCGAAGAGGTTGTTGCCGGTCAGGCTCGCGATTCCCATGTAGAAGAACACGCCCTGCAGCACGGCCCGGGGCAGGAACTTCAGCACTGGTGCCAGGAAGAGTGCTGAGCCAATGAGCACGTGAATCCTTAGTTGCTGGGTTCATAGTTCATAAGATTCATAAGCCCAAACAAGTAAAGTGTAAATTCAGTTCTACAGATAGTGGATAATATAGGTGTAAAGCGTACTCATTCACCTACTAAGGTTCAAGAAGTTGGTAGCACGCTGTTCCACCACCTTCGTAGGCACCTTGCGCTCTCCTTCCGGAAGCTGCTTCACCTCGTAAGTGGTCAACGAGATTACGTGGGTGATACTCGGCACCGTGGAGGCCACGGACAGCGGCAGGCCCAGCACAGCACAGACAGGCAGCGTGAGCGCTCCCCGAACAAACCTGAGACCCTCTTAAGGAGGAAAAGACAAGAAGATGTTTTTTGTGGACCCCTTACTAAGATACCGAAACCCCAAGCCTAAAAACTCAAAAGGGACTCTAACTTATCTGAAGCTGCAAGTCCAGGTGGTACGCAGCCGGCTTCTTCAGACCGTTGGAGGGTCTGTTCACGATCACACTGGTGAGATTCTGATCCAGGTAACCTAACACTGCGAAGCCAATCGCCTCGGTTGTGATTGAAGTGAAGCTAGTTGCTTGAGGTGACACTGGTTGCGAATATGTTCGCCTACAACCTTGTAGCCTCAATCTACAATGGACCAGAAGCATGTCCTCTTGTCAAGCCGCCGGAAGGATCGCATAAGCAATGCCCCAAGCGGGGAAGGGGCGGTCCATGCCGGCGGGATTAATGATCCACGGCCGCTTGCTGCCATCGGACAAGCTCAAGTTTGGCGAGAAGTCTGCGTCCACCTGCAACATCCTCAGGCCTGTGTCGTTGGAGTAAATGGCAGCCAAAGCCGAGCCACTCACCAAGGCGATGGTCACTGCGAAATTGGCCGCAAAGTTGCGAACGAATCGGAAAGTCCAGGGGCTTCGGCGGAAGCTGGACAAGTATGTTGCCAAACCAAATGTCCAGATGAACAAGAGGGCTTCAAACATGCAGTTCGTCAGCGTCAGCCTGCTTTCCGTGAAATTCTCGATGATTGGCCGGGCTCCGTCGATGATGAAGATCAGCGAGATTAATCCTAGACTGTTCAGTAACCCCAATTGCTTCTTCAGATTCAGGCTTGCTATATTGTAGTCGGAACCCAGAATATCAAAAACAAACCTGCATCACTGCACAGACTAGAATCCTGCGAAGATGTCTTCGCTGAACATAGTCACGTGCTTCATGAGTGCGCACAAATCGAAGACCGCCACCAGGACGGTGAAGAGGGAGCACCACATGCATGTCCAGAAATAAAACGGCATGAATTCCACGTCCACGGCAACTGCCAAGTCATAGACGACAAGCGTATAAGCCAAGAACGGACCGGTGGCACCCAAAATCGAAAGGGGTTGGCCGGAAAATGTTGAGAAGATCAAACCGCTGATACATGTGCTCATAATCATTTCCATCACTCCGAACTGGCCGTTCGTGCCGTCAAGGAACCGACTGCCGAACGTAATCGCAGGGGCAAGGGCTGCGATGAACCTTACTGCCACGACTGGAAAATACCCAAAAAGAAACGCTACACTTCCCGAATTGTAGCACTCTAGAAGAATTCACTAGCTTCAGACAAAGGTTTGCATATTGCCAGACGAAGGAACAGATACAAGATGGACGACACCGATTTCTGGAAGTTCTCCGGTTTGAAGGCATCCGTCCAATCACTGCAATAAAGCGGCGCTCGCCTGCGGATATCGAGTCGCAGGCCCCCACCAAGCTTGCCAGTGAAGTCTAAAGGCCCGTAATCCTTCTTGGGTGCATGCGCGATGTTTCCGGACTCGTAGCGGTACACAGCCTCGGCCTCCGCCATGATAGAGAGGTTGGGGTCGTTATCAACGAAGGGAGAACTAAGGCTAGTGCCGAAGGACCTCGAGCCAAAGACGCATTGGGTTTTCCCTCCAGTTGCGGCCAGAACAATCTCCGAGGATTAAAGAAACCAAGTGGGAAGGACAACATGTCAGTCAGGCAATCCACTGGCACCCGATTTCCCAGAAGACTACCGCCCATTTTCCGCACATAATGTGGAGTAAGCTGGTTTGGCAACGCAAGGCTTGTGCAAAGAACTTGTGCAGGAGGTTCGCTCGCCTTCGGCGTTCGGCCTCTCTAAGCACATGATGAGCGTTGCTTGGCCGGAGATGGGCCAGACAATTTTTATTGACGTAAAAGATCAAGCACGCAGGCGGAAGACCCAGAAGCCACTTCCTGATTAAGACCTAGACCCAACACCACAGGGTCGTGCCAACCGTGCTGAATCAGGTTTGCCAGGAAAGGCCTTCAAAGAAGGGCTTCGCTGACGAGTCCCGAAGAACCAAAACTGATTGAATTGTGCAAAGCGGTCCGGCTGAGCAGCCTCCCTATCTACGCTAGTTGAACATCCTTGTTCTCCTAGGCGGCCTCTTTCACGTCCAAGTTCACAATGTCCGGCTTCGACATCGCAGCATCCTCTTCCTCGTCCTCACCTGGGATGCCATCCAGCTGCTTAAGCTCATCCTCGGTGAACATGAACCTCATGGCCTTGCGGATGATGGCCAGGGAGGCCATGAAGAACGGGAACACCACCGACGTTTCCTTGATGGCTTTCAACCCATACAGAATGCCAAGACAGATGACCTGGACGACGGTGTACAGGTGCACTCGGCTGATAGGCAGCTTCTGGATGTAGTGGTACTGCGGGTACTTCGCCGGGTCCCAGATGAGCCACAGCTTCAAACGGTCGAAGAGGTTGTTGCCGGTCAGGCTCGCGATTCCCATGTAGAAGAACACGCCCTGCAGCACGGCCCGGGGCAGGAACTTCAGCACTGGTGCCAGGAAGAGTGCTGAGCCAATGAGCACGTGAATCCTTAGTTGCTGAGTTCATGGTTCATAAGATTCATAAGCCCAAACAAGTAAAGTGTAAATTCAGTTCTACAGATAGTGGATAATATAGGTGTAAAGCGTACTCATTCACCTACTAATGTTCAAGAAGTTGGTAGCACGCTGTTCCACCACCTTCGTAGGCACCTTGCGCTCTCCTTCCGGAAGCTGCTTCACCTCGTAAGTGGTCAACGAGATTACGTGGGTGATGCTCGGCACCGTGGAGGCCACGGACAGCGGCAGGCCCAGCACAGCACAGACAGGCAGCGTGAGCGCTCCCCGAACAAACCTGAGACCCTCTTAAGGAGGAAAAGACAAGAGGATGCTTTTTTTGGACCCCTTACTAAGATACTAGGAAACCCCAAGCCTAAAAAGGCAAAAGGGACTCTAATTTATCTGAAGCTGCAAGTCCAGGTGGTACGCAGCCGGCTTCTTCAGACCGTTGGAGGGTCTGTTCACGATCACACTGGTGAGATTCTGATCGAGGTAACCTAACACTGCGAAGCCAATCGCCTCGGTTGTGATTGAAGTGAAGCTAGTTGCTTGAGGTGACGCTAGTTGCGAATATGTTCGCCTACAACCTTGTAGCCTCAATCTACAAGGGACCAGAAGCATGTCCTCTTGTCAAGCCGCCGGAAGGATCGCATAAGCAATGCCCCAAGCGGGGAAGGGGCGGTCCATGCCGGCGGGATTAATGATCCACGGCCGCTTGCTGCCATCGGACAAGCTCAAGTTTGGCGAGAAGTCTGCGTCCACCTGCAACATCCTCAGGCCTGTGTCGTTGGAGTAAATGGCAGCCAAAGCCGAGCCACTCACCAAGGCGATGGTCACTGCGAAATTGGCCGCAAAGTTGCGAACGAATCGGAAAGTCCAGGGGCTTCGGCGGAAGCTGGACAAGTATGTTGCCAAACCAAATGTCCAGATGAACAAGAGGGCTTCAAACATGCAGTTCGTCAGCGTCAGCCTGCTTTCCGTGAAATTCTCGATGATTGGCCGGGCTCCGTCGATGATGAAGATCAGCGAGATTAATCCTAGACTGTTCAGTAACCCCAATTGCTTCTTCAGATTCAGGCTTGCTATATTGTAGTCGGAACCCAGAATATCAAAATCAAACCTGCATCACTGCACAGACTAGAATCCTGCGAAGATGTCTTCGCTGAACATAGTCACGTGCTTCATGAGTGCGCACAAATCGAAGACCGCCACCAGGACGGTGAAGAGGGAGCACCACATGCATGTCCAGAAATAAAACGGCATGAATTCCACGTCCACGGCAACTGCCAAGTCATAGACGACAAGCGTATAAGCCAAGAACGGACCGGTAGCACCCAAAATCGAAAGGGGTTGGCCGGAAAATGTTGAGAAGATCAAACCGCTGATACATGTGCTCATAATCATTTCCATCACTCCGAACTGGCCGTTCGTGCCGTCAAGGAACCGACTGCCGAACGTAATCGCAGGGGCAAGGGCTGCGATGAACCTTACTGCCACGACTGGAAAATACCCAAAAAGAAACGCTACACTTCCCGAATTGTAGCACTCTAGAAGAATTCACTAGCTTCAGACAAAGGTTTGCATATTGCCAGACGAAGGAACAGATACAAGATGGACGACACCGATTTCTGGAAGTTCTCCGGTTTGAAGGCATCCGTCCAATCACTGCAATAAAGCGGCGCTCGCCTGCGGATATCGAGTCGCAGGCCCCCACCAAGCTTGCCAGTGAAGTCTAAAGGCCCGTAATCCTTCTTGGGTGCATGCGCGATGTTTCCGGACTCGTAGCGGTACACAGCCTCGGCCTCCGCCATGATAGAGAGGTTGGGGTCGTTATCAACGAAGGGAGAACTAAGGCTAGTGCCGAAGGACCTCGAGCCAAAGACGCATTGGGTTTTCCCTCCAGTTGCGGCCAGAACAATCTCCGAGGATTAAAGAAACCAAGTGGGAAGGACAACATGTCAGTCAGGCAATCCACTGGCACCCGATTTCCCAGAAGACTACCGCCCATTTTCCGCACATAATGTGGAGTAAGCTGGTTTGGCAACGCAAGGCTTGTGCAAAGAACTTGTGCAGGAGGTTCGCTCGCCTTCGGCGTTCGGCCTCTCTAAGCACATGATGAGCGTTGCTTGGCCGGAGATGGGCCAGACAATTTTTATTGACGTAAAAGATCAAGCACGCAGGCGGAAGACCCAGAAGCCACTTCCTGATTAAGACCTAGACCCAACACCACAGGGTCGTGCCAACCGTGCTGAATCAGGTTTGCCAGGAAAGGCCTTCAAAGAAGGGCTTCGCTGACGAGTCCCGAAGAACCAAAACTGATTGAATTGTGCAAAGCGGTCCGGCTGAGCAGCCTCCCTATCTACGCTAGTTGAACATCCTTGTTCTCCTAGGCGGCCTCTTTCACGTCCAAGTTCACAATGTCCGGCTTCGACATCGCAGCATCCTCTTCCTCGTCCTCACCTGGGATGCCATCCAGCTGCTTAAGCTCATCCTCGGTGAACATGAACCTCATGGCCTTGCGGATGATGGCCAGGGAGGCCATGAAGAACGGGAACACCACCGACGTTTCCTTGATGGCTTTCAACCCATACAGAATGCCAAGACAGATGACCTGGACGACGGTGTACAGGTGCACTCGGCTGATAGGCAGCTTCTGGATGTAGTGGTACTGCGGGTACTTCGCCGGGTCCCAGATGAGCCACAGCTTCAAACGGTCGAAGAGGTTGTTGCCGGTCAGGCTCGCGATTCCCATGTAGAAGAACACGCCCTGCAGCACGGCCCGGGGCAGGAACTTCAGCACTGGTGCCAGGAAGAGTGCTGAGCCAATGAGCACGTGAATCCTTAGTTGCTGAGTTCATAGTTCATAAGCCCGAACAAGTCAAGTGTAAATTCAGTTCTACAGATAGTGGATAATATAGGTGCAAAGCGTACTCATTCACCTACTAATGTTCAAGAAGTTGGTAGCACGCTGTTCCACCACCTTCGTAGGCACCTTGCGCTCTCCTTCCGGAAGCTGCTTCACCTCGTAAGTGGTCAACGAGATTACGTGGGTGATGCTCGGCACCGTGGAGGCCACGGACAGCGGCAGGCCCAGCACAGCACAGACAGGCAGCGTGAGCGCTCCCCGAACAAACCTGAGACCCTCTTAAGGAGGAAAAGACAAGAGGATGCTTTTTTTGGACCCCTTACTAAGATACTAGGAAACCCCAAGCCTAAAAAGGCAAAAGGGACTCTAACTTATCTGAAGCTGCAAGTCCAGGTGGTACGCAGCCGGCTTCTTCAGACCGTTGGAGGGTCTGTTCACGATCACACTGGTGAGATTCTGATCGAGGTAACCTAACACTGCGAAGCCAATCGCCTCGGTTGTGATTGAAGTGAAGCTAGTTGCTTGAGGTGACGCTAGTTGCGAATATGTTCGCCTACAACCTTGTAGCCTCAATCTACAAGGGACCAGAAGCATGTCCTCTTGTCAAGCCGCCGGAAGGATCGCATAAGCAATGCCCCAAGCGGGGAAGGGGCGGTCCATGCCGGCGGGATTAATGATCCACGGCCGCTTGCTGCCATCGGACAAGCTCAAGTTTGGCGAGAAGTCTGCGTCCACCTGCAACATCCTCAGGCCTGTGTCGTTGGAGTAAATGGCAGCCAAAGCCGAGCCACTCACCAAGGCGATGGTCACTGCGAAATTGGCCGCAAAGTTGCGAACGAATCGGAAAGTCCAGGGGCTTCGGCGGAAGCTGGACAAGTATGTTGCCAAACCAAATGTCCAGATGAACAAGAGGGCTTCAAACATGCAGTTCGTCAGCGTCAGCCTGCTTTCCGTGAAATTCTCGATGATTGGCCGGGCTCCGTCGATGATGAAGATCAGCGAGATTAATCCTAGACTGTTCAGTAACCCCAATTGCTTCTTCAGATTCAGGCTTGCTATATTGTAGTCGGAACCCAGAATATCAAAATCAAACCTGCATCACTGCACAGACTAGAATCCTGCGAAGATGTCTTCGCTGAACATAGTCACGTGCTTCATGAGTGCGCACAAATCGAAGACCGCCACCAGGACGGTGAAGAGGGAGCACCACATGCATGTCCAGAAATAAAACGGCATGAATTCCACGTCCACGGCAACTGCCAAGTCATAGACGACAAGCGTATAAGCCAAGAACGGACCGGTGGCACCCAAAATCGAAAGGGGTTGGCCGGAAAATGTTGAGAAGATCAAACCGCTGATACATGTGCTCATAATCATTTCCATCACTCCGAACTGGCCGTTCGTGCCGTCAAGGAACCGACTGCCGAACGTAATCGCAGGGGCAAGGGCTGCGATGAACCTTACTGCCACGACTGGAAAATACCCAAAAAGAAACGCTACACTTCCCGAATTGTAGCACTCTAGAAGAATTCACTAGCTTCAGACAAAGGTTTGCATATTGCCAGACGAAGGAACAGATACAAGATGGACGACACCGATTTCTGGAAGTTCTCCGGTTTGAAGGCATCCGTCCAATCACTGCAATAAAGCGGCGCTCGCCTGCGGATATCGAGTCGCAGGCCCCCACCAAGCTTGCCAGTGAAGTCTAAAGGACCGTAATCCTTCTTGGGTGCATGCGCGATGTTTCCGGACTCGTAGCGGTACACAGCCTCGGCCTCCGCCATGATGAAGGGATGTGGGGCGATTGAAAGAAGCGCAAACAAAGGCTTGTGCCGAAAGACCTTAACATGCTTGTGATAGAGATCTTGTTTCAGCCATCTCAGCGAACCAGGACTCCGCCGCTGAAGTATCCCAGAGCGTCTACTACCATCGTCTACCTGTGGTTGCAGCAAGATCGGCTCACCCACTCCTGATGTATCAATGAAGCCCGAAGCCCGCAACATGTCCAGCTTCACACCACGGAAGATGCATGCTGCCAAGCCAAGGAACCTTCCGACCGGGGCATCCGAGGCGATAACCTGCATGATTTGAAGGCTCGGAACCATTCACAGAGTTGCCCGTGGGAGTAAAGGGGAAGAAAAGCAGCAAGCGAGAAACCCACCAGCTGAGACGTCATGTAGTAGGTCAAACGGAAGTCGTGAACACATGGGCTGGAACAATACTATTAACAGCCATCCTGTCAATCAGATTAAAAGCACTCAATGGCAAGATGTTAGCAGAAAGACGTAGCCGCTCCTGCAACATACTACGTGTCAAGACATCCCAAAGCCCTACGCCTGAATCCCAAAACCACTCTAGCAAAAATAACCTATGCCCTACGCACTATGCCTTTCTCTCCTTGCGAAGCCTTCAGAAAGACCCCTAGCAAACCCGAAGCTATCCCTACAAACCCTAAACTCCTCAACCCCACGCTGCAAACAGTTGCTATGTTACACTGCAAGAGCCACGGATCGCGGCCTGGAGTTTCCCAACGATCCAGCGGCCGAGCGCAGCACATTCAGGGACCTTCTTGAGAAACGGATGAGGGCGAGGGGTATGGAGTCATACAGGAATGTTATACAGTCCCGGTTTCTAGGTTTTTGTAGGGTCACAAGGGATTCTACCGGATTTTGACGGGACGCAAAGGAGATACTGATGCAAATTCTTCGGACCTTCGTGGGAAAGAGCCCAACGTCAAAGATCCGGCTTTCGAGCTTCAAGGGGTTGCGGATTAGAGGCTTTTCAGCTCTTGGGATCAAGGGTTTCGGGCATGGATTAGGATTGGGGGGGGTCTCAAAGGTTGTATTAGGTGTTTTACGTGTTGGGATTGCGGCTTTGGGGGGTGGGGGGGGGCAGAGTTTGGGATGTAAAGTTTCAGGGTCTGGGATTCGAGGTTTAGGGTTGGAAGTTTAGCGCTTGGAGCTGCAGCCGCATAGTAGCAAAGTTCAGAAGCGTCGTGGTAGTAGTACTAGTCGTCGGCGCAGTATGTCGGAGAAGATGATAGTAGTACTAGTAGTAGACAGTGGATGGTTGGCACATAAAAGCATACTAGATTTCGAGGTAGTACCAGTAGTAGTAGTAGTAGTAGTAGCAGCAGCAGTAGTAGCAGTAGTCGTCGTAGTAGCAGTAGTAGTAGTAGTCGTAGTAGTAGTAGTAGTACTACTACTACTACAACTACTCCTACTACTGGTACTACTGGTACTACTGCTACTACTACTACTACTACTACTACTACTACTACTACTACTACTAGTACTAAGTACGTACTAGTACTAGTAACCAGTACTAGCAGTACACCTATCAACCTCGAAGGCACTAACAAGGCGCCCGGCTTCACGACTTCATCCGGCACACGGACAGTTGATTCGGCCTCAACATGGAGGAGGGGAAGGGAGTCATTGGCTGGCTTACCGGGCACAAAAGAGCCAAGAGCAGAATGACAAAAGCAGCACACGAACAGCAGGAGCAGAGTAGCAATGACAACACTTCACGCCCAGCATTATCAAGGGCTTTGGGAATTTCGGGGTCGACGGTGCGGAATCCGACGACCTCGAAACCCCTGTTTAAAAAAACCTAATCTCAACTCCCCAAAGCATGGCGTACCTCCTTCTGTGCAGCTCGTGGGCTAACCACCTCCTTGATGGAGCGTAGGCTCGCCTGTCAAACACTTAAAGGTCACCGAGCATGTAAGGTCTTCGTGCGGCTTCTGACAATCTAAGGCGTTCGGGAAATAGACTTGATGGGGCATCCTAGCGCTACCATGCCTTCGGTGTCTCTGCATCGGTAGGGCAGTAAGCCTTCGATAAGCATCATGCAAAGACGATACTAGAATCACATTGCATTGCACTGCACTACATTACACGCCATGACACTGTAGCGTATTGTGTTCTATGAACTTGCATTTACTACATTAATTAAACGATAACCCATTCAAAACATGGTGCTACACCTCAATGTACTTTTACGATGCTAAACTATACTATAACATGCTCTTGTAAATTCTACTGCGCTTCTATTCGGGCATGCCACGGCATATTACATCATATTATATTGGATTGGATGAGACTGCTTTTGACTGGAGTGATCACAGTTTGTGATCATAATATGACTCAAGTGACCAGAGTCTGTTATAACGAGATCGTCATGCTACATTACAATGTTCTACCGTGTCTCAGCTGTTGCTGCAGTATGCTGTATGATACTGAACTGTGTTGTGCGGAATTGACACTGCACTGTGTCCGGTCAAAGCAGGTCATACTATGTGTTATAGGATGCTGTGTTGGACTAGAGTGTTTGGTACCAAACTGTAGTCCATCATGCTTCAATACATTACTATGCTACATTATAGTGATTATAGTGCAACAGCTTTTACATACTACGTTTTACTACAGTGTATCATTAAACTGTGTCACGTTCTATCAAGAGAGGACATCTTGCCACTACATATCAAGTCCTACCATGTCCTGTCATATCATGTTGTATGACATTAAGCCAACCTTCATCATAAAAATGTTCACAATCGTATCAGACCATGTTAGTTCCTGATACCACATCATGAAATGGTGCTGAGCTAAACAGCTAAACATATCATACCAGATCACACCATGTCTCTGGTGGTGTCTTTTTCATTGAAACTAAAATGCAGTACATGACATATTACGAGACGATATCAGACAACATAGGATACGATGAGACAAAATGGAATAAGATAATATAAAACGAGATAAACAAAATGCAGTACAAAACCATATAAAACAAACATTACCTCCTAAAGTAGCATACGAGGTGATGCAGTGTTGCATGACACAGAATTATTTCATAAACTCATGCATCAAGATGAAAGTTACGGTGCGTTTCTATCTGTGGACAAAGACTAAGTATGGCATGGTGAAGTAAAGTATAGTGTGGTGGCGTACCGTTATAGGACAGTACAATATGCTACAGTGCAGTATAGTGAATCAGGGCACACTACAAAACCTATTAGCATAACATCCCATAACATGCCTTATTAGAACAAAATAGAGCAAACCATACAACAAAATGCAACCAGTATAACAGAACATGACGTAACATCTTGGGCATTGCTGTATTATATTTTGCCATGATAACTTATGCTCCATTCCTTTCAGTTTCTTGAGTCGTGCAATGAAGGTGGTGAAGAGTTGGCCGGACGATCCGAGATCCCTACCCAAACCTTAATCACTAAATCCCAAACCCTAATGATCCGAGATCCCGGCTGCCCGCTTGGAAGGTGGAGGAGGTGTCTTGGTGCGCAGCCGTGTATAGCGGCCTCAGCCCAACCCTTCACAGTGGGGCAGGGTCTCGGTGCGTGAATGCGCAGACGGCATCTATCACTTGCTCAGGCAAGTACCAGGTTGTCGGGACTGTGAGACGGTCTGGGTTATGAACATTATATATATATATATACACACACATCTTATAAGAACTGCATTGTATATACTGTATGTGGTGTACATGATATAGCGAATCTGCCCGAAACTGCCTATGGTACACGAAAGGACGCAGACACACAGAACAGCCCTCTTGAACGCCTAGTGCCTAGTGCTCATCACTGTCACAAGCTACTAGTGCGAGCACTCCTCGTCTCAATCAGACTGCAGGCGAACACATATTCCGCACATACGCCCTTACATGATCTGAAGATCGTGCGGATCTCGCCCGATCGATTCTTCCTTGATCTCGAGGCCCGTGCTACCATGACCGAGCAGGATGTTGAGCGACTTTGTCTCAGACAGCAAGAGCCCTGCTTTGTGGTAGCCTTCGCACCTGGCCGCTTCTTCGGTCTTATGCACGGGATAAACGGTATCATGCGCTGTACGGTGTATTTCGTAAGGTTCTATCGGGCTTAGGGCTTAGTGAAGTGTCGTCCTGACAGGAGACCGGAAACGCCATTCCGCCTGCGGAACTCGGCAAACTTCAAACGGCAGCGAGCGGCCTGGGGCCAAAACGAGACGTTGTACTTAGTGGTGCTAGTAGTAGTCGTAGTAGCAGTAGTAGTGGTACTGTTGATGCCCAAAATCCTGCATGACTTACAGCATCACACATATGTGATGTCGCGCTGTCCACTTCCCCGCAGCCCCTGAATTTCAATGTTGCATCACCCTGGAGTCATGCAGGATTTTGGGCATTCGCGCAAACGCTTTTTCTAGACTCTGTCTCAGTGCAATATTAAAATTGGGGGTAGCAGGGGAGCCGTGGGGAAGTTTAAACCGATGCAGGATTTAGGGCATCAACCGTAGTAGTATAGTAGTAGTAGTAGTAGTAGTAGTAGTAGTAGTAGTAGTAGTAGTAGTAGTAGTAGTAGTAGTAGTAGTAGTAGCAGCAGCAGTGGTAGTGGTAATGGTGATGGTACAAGTAATGGTCATGGTCATGGTACTGCAACTGGTTCTAGTACTAGCCAAAGTAATAGTAGTAATGGTCGAAGTAGTGGTAGTAGTGGTCGTACGGAGGTACTTGGTAGTACGTGGTGGTACGTGGTAGTAGTGGGTAGTACTAGCAACAGTCGTCGTTTTCACATATCCTTCAAACACTGATTCTCCTCATGAGACCAGTAAGCTCATAGCTTTCAAGATTCCCATGATTTATTCTGACCTGGTATTAAGATAGGGCTGGTATTTTCATTGTCATTGCCTGCTAGATTTTCAACATTGTCTCGTCACTCTGCCTATTCTGACGATCATCAGACCCTGTCAACCATACACCCTGACCGCCTAACCCCAAACCCCTAGCCCCAAAATCTTAAACCCATTTCGTCAAAACGAATTTCCGAATCGTACGCCTGATCCTGTCAGTCCTATAATCCTACGAACCCTAAACCCTACGAGCCCTACAAACCATCAAAACCTTCTAAACCCAAAAACCTGTAAACGTCCAAACCCGGTAAACTCTTTCAATAACATCCCAACTCCCAACCTTATAAACCCTCCAAGCCCGAAACCCTCGAAACCCTAAACCCTAAAAGCTTCGAAACCTCCAAACCCTTCCAGTCGCCTCGAGATAGGCCTTGAGCTCTCGAGATGCGTTGGCGCGTCGCCTCGGGTATCCCCAGAGTGATAGTAGGAATAGTGGTACTCGTAGTAGTCGTAGTAGTAGTGGTAGTAGTAGTAGCAGTAGCAGTAGCAGTAGCAGTAGCAGTAGCAGTAGCAGTAGCAGTAGTAGTAGGAGTAGTAGTAGTAGTAGTAGTAGTAGTAGTAGTAGTAGTAGTACTCGTCGTCGTCGTCGTGGCGGTGGTGGTGGTGGTGGTGGTGGTAGTGGCGGTAGTCGTCGTCCTCGTCGTCGTCGTCGTCGTAATAACAAAAAACGATAATGGTTACTAACCGGTGTAGAGTTCAGAGTTTAGGCTTTTAGATTCGCGGTGGAAGACGGATGTAGGCTTTCGCACGCAAAGTTTAGGATTCATGGTATCGGACGCTGGAGCGATTCAGGTGAAATTCTTGTCAGAAGCATCTGAATGAAATCCGGGCCACGAACCCCACACACACACACACGTTTCCGAGCAATCCAAGTCTTGCCTTGTCAGAAGGGCGCGGAACTGCCGGCGACAAAGCCTGGATGCACGTGGATTGAAGGCGTGTCATAGCAAGTTCGACTACTACGTTATGCCTCTGCGCAGGCCTCAGTTTGCCCTCAAGCCTTACACGGACACTCGTTTCGTCAGGGAGCTGGAGCCTATTGCCCACTGATGCAAAACTCTCGAGATCATTCCCGGCACACGACTCTCTCGCCCTTGAGTCGCTGCGCTTTTAGTTTCGTCTTCCGATCTTCTCACATGCTTGCAGATATGTGACACTCCCAGTCTTCTTCGCTTGCACTCTATATCCTTGGGGTGGGAGCAAGGGAACCAGCGGCTACATTTGCAGAGTTAGAGTGCGCTTCAGCCCTGACATCCCAAAGATGCGAAATGCAAAACACCGCGACAAACGTGGGAACCCCAAAAGATGACTGGCCCCGGCCTCTGAACTCACACACCCCTCAAAAAAACACAAGCGAAATAGGCCTAAACCCTGACCCTTGAACCCTCTACATCTGCTACTTTACCTTACCTACCTTACGCTACACGTAGCCCGAACCCCTACCTCTACGACATTAGCTTACCCTACACTAAGCCCTGCTCCCTACCCTGAAAACAAACCTTCAATCCGGAACCCCGGTCGCTGAGAGCGGGTCATGCCGCGGCTGATTGTCTGGATCATCCTCACCAAAACCGCCAGGACAATAATGGGTCTTTGGGGCTTTCGGGCTTGAGGATTTAAGGGTTTTGGGGTTTGGGGTTTCGGGATGTTTAGGGTCTAGGCTTTGTGAGGGTTTAAGCTTCAGGTTTCAGGGCTGTGGGCTGTGGGGTTTAGGCTTAGGTTTTGTAGGAATTGTAGGGCTTGCATAGGTCTACGGGGTGGAAGACTTCCGGCGGAGGGTCGCGGTATTACACCTTCGGATGGAGACCTCCACAAGATGTATGACTTCGGGCTTTTGGGAATGTTTCGGGCTTCCCCTCATTAATAACCCTAAGCCCCCAAAAGCCTTCACCAAAGCAAAAGCTTGGAGTAGCTGGAATAAGCTACCCGGACCCCTGCAAGGATCTAGAAAGTAGATCCCTTAATGGGGGTTCCTATAAAGTACCCTTAGTAGTATAGGGCCCCAAATTAGGGGATCTACTTTCTAGATCCTCCGGGGGTCTGGGTACTTACTACGACGACACGACGAAGACTTTCCCGGCTTGGCTTGGGCTGATGATTTCCCTGGGTCCGTTTTGACCGAAGACATCAGCCACAACCACAGCAAAGACAACAAATAAAGAATGGTAACGTTGAAAACTGAGCACAACAAGATCAGCAACAACAGGAGCAGTGACAAAAAGCAGAGACAATCAACAGCAGCACCACCACCCAAAGCCTCGAAGCACAAGTGACAAGTGCCACAAAACCCTAACATCCTAAAACCGTAAAAATCGAATCTTAGCTCTCAGGTCGCGGCCTGGCATTCCGCTCCTCGGTCGGGTGCGATTGCAGTGTTGTGCTTGCTGGTCTGCTTTCGCCGCTATGCGGATTTTCTTGAAGTGATCATAGTCATAGTCGTCATGGCGGGCAAGGAGCAAGCACGACGTTTACTAGGAGTTCCTGCATCTATCCTCGAATGAAAGGATGCATAGCTCGACGCGGAAGATCCCGTGACGAGAGGGTCTGGCATTGCTTTGGGTTCCTTTATCAAAGGGGAAGAGGAGGGACCCTCAATGGGGACCCCCCCCTATAATGGGCTATATAATGGGTATATAGTGGCCATATTAAGGGTATATTACCTAGGGGTCCTTATTAAGGGTCCCCCCTGTTCCCCTTGGACTCCCAGATTCTTGCAGTTGCTGTCGAACAATCCGCGCAGATTTCCCTGGGTCTCGGACGGCACGGAGTCGAAGGAGAACTCCGCGAGCATCCATGACGTGGGTGAACTCCTGCGTTTCTGAAGGGACGGGATGCATAACATATACGTACATGCATACATAGATTATGTAGTGCAGCGCAGCGCAGTGGAGTGTAGCGTAGGGTAGTGTAGTGTCATGTACTGATACATGAACTGCATGCATGCATGGATGCATGGATGGATGGATGGATGTAAAAGGCTTATGTGCAGTATGTCTGTTGAGTCCGTTTCGCAAGGCTCGGTCCGGCTGAAAGTGCGGAGCAGGCATGGTGCAGGCTTTCGAAACCCTCCAAGAAGCGACGTCCTTGAAGAAGGCTGCCGCTGCCTTCATGCGCAATCTTGCCAGAACCTTGGTCAGCAGCCACTCCAAAAAACGTAAATACAGAAACACCAGGGCCCTTCTGGCAGATGCTTGCGATGCACAGCAACGTGCTCAGATATGAGCCTGCTGTCTCTCACCGAGCCCACAGGTGCCACAAGAGCTCAGGGCCCCCGCGACCTGCGCATCGTAGCGCGGCATAATCCCGCGGAAGCAGCGCACCTGATGCACGCAGACAGTTGTCCAGTTAATGTATTGAATCGAAAGCTCTGAGTACCAAGCCCCCGTTGAATTACCAAGCCTCAAAACCTGCGTCAGAAGCATGCCCCTAAACCTTAACCCTACTCCTAAACTCTAGACGCTAAGTCTCAAACGCCAAACCCCAACAAGCCCTAAATGCACACCCTAAGCCACAAACCCAAACTCGCTCCTCTCCTTGATATATGATAGGACCGATAATACTGATTACCAGCTAGTTAATAAAAAGGAGTACCCCTTTGACTTATGTAGTCTTATCATGAAAGCCATCCACATTGCGCTAAAACCCAACAAAAAAATATACCAGACACACCGATGAATGCCGTACCATTCATCCGCCCACTCCCCCTCCCCCCATTCCTAAGTTTCAGAACAGCCCCTGTGAAATCCATCCAACCTCCTCTTTGCTGAGAGCCGGGCAGCAAGTCTTTGGCCGCGCGCTTTGGCCTGCCAGCGTTGGATTTTGTGCTTGTTTTGGATGGTTCGTCTAGACATGTCTAGGCTTTATACTGTAAGGGCTCTAGAGGGTTCTGGATTGGTTTTGGATTTCATGTTGGGTTCTGTCGAGTTCGGGATGCATCCTGATTATACGGATTTGTATGGGTCATCTGGGGTTTCAGATGAGGTTTATAGGGTTCTTGTAGAACTGGTTGTGTAGGATTCTATGGAGCTTCATCAGGGCTCTGTTCCTTATGCGCTCTGCAGAGTCTTGCGTAACAGCTACCACAGGGTTCGGCAGGCTGTCTTATAAGGATTCTATAGGGTCGGGAGTTAGGGACTTACTCAGGGATTCAAAGCACACGGAAAGTTATTCGAGAAAGGCCTGTCGTCATATGGCATACTAGACTTCTCTTCCTACAGCAACATGTCCTGCATGTGTGCGTGTATATGTGTATATGTATACATGTATACATAAATATGTACATAACCTATGTGTGCAGTGTCTGCACCAGTTCCTGTACCTGTATCTCTGCTAGATATGCCCATACAACCTTGGAACCTTTTACGCAGCGTGTGCAGAAGTTTCAATGCAGGGACCTTGGAGATCGGGAGCCTCATGCCTAGGAGTCTCAGTTCTCTTCCTTTCAGACCTTGTACACATCTATATGAGTCTATATCTGTATCTAGATCTGTACATATGCACGCATGCTCTCACTTCTATGTCGAGCTATGTATTTGGCTCCGTCTTTTCGTCTACCTATCGATTTGTCTACTCGTTCATGCCCTTTCCCCGGCTCATACGGATGCCGCTGGTGCTGCTACCACCTCTGTTAATCAGAAGAATTAATGTGCTGCTACTGTTATTGCATGAACACACAGATATGTGTATATATTGAGCCTACACATGTATGCATGCATGCATTTATTATATATATATGTATATGCATATACACAAACATGCATAGATACACATAATGCCACGTACATGCCGTCATTCCTTCAATGAAGCAGGCCGTGGAGCACCACTTTCCGCAGGGTGTCTCTCTGCAGGAAGGTGCGGATGTGCCGCTGGATCTGCGGCACAAGGCTGGCCAGTTTAGGGTTCGGGTACATCATGTTTTAGACGGTACGTTTTGTCAAGGAAGTTGACTCAAGATTGCCTGAGGGTTCGCCGTCTGAGTCGAAAGTCCACGCAGCGTGGGATCTCTTAAGACGGCAGCTCTGTCAAAGTGCTGCGCAATGCAAGCACATGCAAGCACTGGAATGTCCGTCTCTTGACACTCGCAAAAAGTAGTTCAAAGCAAGGTCACATGCCTTGTAGCCCATATCTCAATACCCGAAACCTACAGTTTTATCCAAAGTATCAAGTATCAACCTCGCGCACCACATCGAACGTCTTCACTGGTAGAGTATCCCTCCTTACGATGTGATCAAACAAGGTTTCACAACGTGGCCAGCAACCGCGGACGCTGCACCCCAAGAGCCTAAACGCTTACGGTTCCGTTGCACAGAACAAACATTAGGTGGCTCGTCGGCGCTTCAGCTGGAAACTTGATGCCATAGGACCCATGCGCAGGAATCCCACATCAAGAACACCGACAGCAACAGACACAGCAGGAATGACAGAAATCAGAATCATGGTAGCATCCATGATATTGACAGATAATGACAGCAACAACAAAAACGATTGACAAAAACGCAAGCCTAAATCCAATCAGAGAATTCCAAGCACAAGGAATAGCAAGGCCTCAATGGCTGCGAGACTCCGGCACCAGGAGCGACGCCCGCTGAGGATGAGCATGGCCTGGCGCAAGGCGAGGGATGGCGGTGCGTATGCCATGCTGTCAATCTGCGTATTCACGCATGTACAACAGTGCACACGAGCTGCAGTTGCGCAGTTGCTCAGATACTTAGTAGCTTAGCTACGTAATGGCTGAGTTACTTGATGGCTTAGTCGCTTCGTCACTTGCTCACCACCGACACCTACACAATCCCGTATACATAGACGTACATTACACAGAAACGATACGATACAATCACATACCATCACATACAACTACATACAAGCACGTTAAAATCAACAGACAAGTACAAAGACACGCTACACACATAAACACATGTGCAAAGACGCACAAAGGCACGTACACACACACACACATATATATATATATATACATCTATACATCCAAAACTCATCCAGACATCGATCCATGCATCCATCCATCCCTCGCGCCATCCATACACACACACACACATATGCGTACGTACATACATACATACATACACAATCATACATAAAAGCACAAATACACAAATACACACGTACATACATAATTACATACATGCATACCTGCATACATACATATATGCATACACATGTACCTACGTCGCAAGCACTTGCGAGCACAAAGGTACGCACGTACATACATACATACATACATACATATCTACGTATGTACCAAACATACGTACAAAGATACATACACACATACGTACATACCTACATATACATGCATACATGCATACATACGTACACGCGTACAAGACATACTTACATACGCACATACGTACACATGTACATACATACATAACTAATTACATATGTGAACATACAACATCCGTGCTTTGAAGCACTCATGCATTACGTCCTGATTTTGATTTCGCTCATTCATCAAACTGTTCGGCATGCGTTGAGCGTTCAACCAACAACGGTGTGATGCATGTATTGTGTCTATGCTATACAGAGACATAGGCAAAGGGCTCTGACCATTCTTAGCTCGAAACCTTTTTCCCAGTGGTATCATTCACTGCTCGAAAAAAGTTGGTTGATGGAACTTCCTGTTCCTGCGAATTACTTCGGATTCCGTCAGTGAGGTCGCCCATGTCTTTGCTGGATTTGCGTAGTGCACCATTTCTGCTACCACTGCGGGATTGATATGATACGTAACTTCACTGGTGGTGTTTTTGCCAATCCGAAATTTACGTGTGTTAAACGTGAAAAAAAACGGGTCGAAAATCAAAATGGTACCGATGATGCCAGGCCCCAGGCAGAAGCACGCCAGCAGCCACGAAGGCCTGGACGTTTCGAGCACCACATAACATGTACGATTTGGGGCCTTTAGGGCTTTGTAAGGCTTTACTATGTTCTACTATTTCGATTATACGGACTTTTTGTATTATATATTGTTATTGCCTTACATTCTCCTAAGCCCCGGCCGAAACGGTCAAAGGTTTTTCTTTCTCACAAAGGTTTTTCTTTCTCACCACCAACCCTGGAGCCAGGGCCTCGCACGAAGGAAACGTCTGAAAGACTCAGATTGGCAGCACTCGTCGCCGAACCACCCACCCTACAGCCAGAGGCGGCGCGCGAAGCAAAGTGTGAAGCTTCAAGCCGGTAGCACAAACCGAACCACCAACCTCACAGCCAGAAACCGCTCTCGCAGCAGACGTTGAAAGCCTCCGGCTAGCAGATGCTAGCAGCATTGACCGAACCTCCAACACCCTTCCAACGGTAGATGTCGAACCACAGGCAACAAGCCCGACGTGCGAGCTTTGCTCCCGCCGTCTCCGGTGGGCCACTTCTGCAAATGAGTGGGTGCAAGTCCCCAAACTGACGGCCACCAGATTTGCGACGAAAACCGGATTTGGGCTGTCAGATATGGGAGCGCCAACAGAACGCGCTGGTGTGCCTTCCTACAACGAGAAAAAGCAAAGCTTTTGCCAAGCTGCCACTTTACCTCATTTAAGGTTTTCGGGCTGAAAGTAAAACTGTATTGCGGTGTCCTTCACACTTCTGTGAGATTTAGGGCTTTGGGTTAATGTGTTTTCTCTCCACACACAGTCGCGGGCTCTCGTCAAACAACACGCAAAAGTGGTGTAACATCAGCAGGCATGTCCGAATAACACGAAGCTCGCACCAAGCAAAACCGCCACAACAAGAGATAAGAAAAACAGGCGCAGCAAAACTGACACCCAGACGGCAGCCTGAAAACCAGAGACGGCAGAAACCATAGGGAAGCCATGAGTAGACCGCCCCGTTCCTCAAAATGACCAATGACCCGGCCCCGACGGGACTAATGAAATTCACCACAATGTCAAACTGAAAATCTACATCGCGGACGAATAAGGGGCCAACTCCTGGCTTGGCAACGCTCTGACACGCAGGTGACCCACGACGCAGTCCTGCACGTCTGAGCCAGGCCCAGCGGTCTTCACGGCAATTAGGTTTACCACGAAGTCCTGAAACAGCCTCAGGATTTCAAACACAAATTTGAGCATGAACTGAAATTGCTTCTTGTTGCCCCGAGCCCGAACCGATTCATGCAGGAATCGTTTGGGAACTCCCAACACCCGACTCTGGCAGTCTTCGGGTTGGCATCAGCACTTTTGGGACCCCATTTCGACGGCTTGACTGATCGACCGAATTGTAGCATGCGCAATTGCCCAAGCCGAATAACACCGGCACCGTGGAAATCCCTCGCAAGCTGAAAATAACACAAAAGCCGCCATGGCCTTTGCGTTGGAAGCCAAAAACATGCTCTTCTGCACGACATCAAGGGCACCGACGACGGCTTGACTCAGCATCTTTAACCTCACCAGCTCTGTCAACAAGACTCCTGGCAAACTATAATGCCAATCCTCTGATCACAGTTTTGGTGCTGCATGAAGTTTCTGGTGCGAGAAGTCGGGGAAGCTTTTTCGCCAGCTGAGCACATCAAGCTTAGCCACAAAAGCCACAAAGTCTTTCAATCGCAATCTGAATGGATGTACTGGTGTTTTGACACGTTCAAGTCAACTTGGCCCCATGAGATGCGGCAAACCTAAAGCAACCAGCTGCGCAAGGACCTCACCAATCACCAATCAGGTTTGCAGTGGAAGGTGACGGTGACATCCACCAGTTTGATCAGACGATCGCCCCGCCGGATTTCAGTACGACCAGCAGCAATCCGGCCAGGGGCGGAAAGATCTTGAAAAGAAAGCGGGCATAGCGGTTGCTCGGCGACCAGAGCCACCCGACTAACCCTGCGAATCTGCTGAAACTGGACTTCAAGTTTGGAGGGATCACCCAAGTGGGCGCTACGGCCAGGCAGAACACGAGTAGCCCACTGCCTCGCAAAGGTTCCTGGCTGTTACGTCAGGTCCCTCGCCTATGGCCTCAGTCCAACACCACCTGCTCTGAGCGGCACCTCGCAGCACTCCCGGCACGCGCACGCGCAATGCAATGCCCTTATCAAGATGAACACTGCGATCTGCACCATCGGATTGCGCTCTGCAGACGCAAGCTGCGCAACTTCTTCAAGCTGTTCTCCGTTCTCAACATGTACGACACATGCCTCGCCCTTGTGTCCGTCAGGGTGCTGTGCAAATTCATCCGGGCCTTTCGATAACTGGATGTCCTAGGTCAGCGAGTGAACCCAACCCGAAAGCCGTTTGCCACTTCGGACAGCAGGTCAGTGCTTCTAGTCCTTGGAAGCCTTATTATTGACTAAGACTAAGGCTTTGAAGCGGTCGAGCTCTCTGTCCTTGGCTTTCTCGAATTAAGGCTTGAAGTTGCTTAAGAGATCACCAACCACCATCGCCAGCTGCACCTCCAGAAAGACGAGGTCCCCAAATGATGCGAATCGGGAACGGAGCACTTCGGTTGATCATGACTTTTATTGGCAACTCTAACTCTAACACCCGACGGCAAAGATCGGCAAAGTTGATCTTCAATGCAGGCCACTGCTGCAACCAAAGACAGCAATGCCACCAATATGACCATGGTGACTTCAATCTTTTCGGCCTTGGGCGGCTTCATGTTGCACGCCGAATGCGGAGGCGCACACGACGATTCCAAGTGCCAGCCGTCTCCCTCTCTCCCTCCCTCCATTGCAACCCCTGTAGCAAAGGAGCACGAATTGACACGCAAGCTCGCCAAGCCAAAAAATGCGGCCTCCACCCCGAAGCAACCCCGTTCACCCATCCCCGCCAGCCACATTCATCGTCTGGTGTGCACTCTGAACCCTGAATTTGACACTGATGTGTTGAGACTATTCTTCAACTGACCGGGCCGAGGCGGAAGACGAACAGCGTTTACAATTCAGGAAGCCTCGGGAATAGTGCAGGTAACTGTCGTTGCCCATATGGGAGTTCCCGAAAATAGGGGACCCTGATATAGTTTCCCAAATAGTAGGATCCTTATTACAAGGACCTCAAAACAAGGTACCCTTAAGTTTTGGAAATGCCCATATTGGGGTTCGGGGGTTTAGGCTTAACCCGACCAGGAAGAGCCGTCATCATGCAGACAAAAGCAGACCCAAACTCTTCTTCCGATACTGCCACTACATGGGCTGAAGCAAAACTGAATGCCCGCACTTCCCAGGGCCAATGGCTCTTTTATAGGGGCCTAAGTAATTACCAATACTGTTTGGGGGGCTCCTTATTATAATTACAGTATAAGATACCCTCAAACCCTACGATAACTATTGAGGCCCCTCTATTACTATACAGCAGACCTCTGCAGGGACGTCTCACGAAATCAAACCGAATCGGCAAGTCCCAGGGCGCCAAGCAGATTTGGCGGCGACGCCGTTTGGCTAGTTGGATCTTGGCGTGAAGCATCCTGGTATCGAAGTGCAGTCCACTTTGTGCTAACAGGCTACGTCTGCGAGGAGCTTTCTCATCCTCTTGAGGGCACGACCTTGTTAGGTAGCTGCTTGATGACAGCATCTTATGTCGGATGCCTAGAGTAAGGGCTCGGCAGCCCTGTCCATCGAAAGTTGGCAAAGTCTGTCCCAACCAAAAATGATGCTCTCTCAGCTCGTAGAGGAGTCAGCTACTCAAAGGAAGACTGCCATTTTCAAGGCCATGGGACCTCAGATCCGAAACCCTAAACCCTTGAACTTCTAAACCCTACTTTGTCGAAACCCGGCGCCGGGCCCGGGGCAGGACTGAGACGCAAGCCTTCCGACTGAGATGAAGTCTCCGACTGTTGTGTTCATGCTCTAGGTTCCTGAGTAGGCCCGTAATACTGAGGGTTTGGTTTTAAAAAAAGGGAACCCAAACAGAAAAAGGGCAAAAGGGCACTACTCGGGAACCTAGTGACCTAGTGCCTAATGTGGAGGCCTGAATGATTTCAAGAGTGCGTTTTGTGAATTTTCAAAGGTGTCTCTATGAGGGCTCAGGTTGTAAGACCAGTTTAGGGTGCCTTAGAAATGCTCAGAATTCAAACAGCGTTTTGCGGCTTGTTGCAGCATGACAGTACGGGAACTGTGAATAGTATTTACAACATTTTACAACTGCCCAGGCCTCTTACAAGTGAGGGCTGTGCAAGACTAGTAGTTTGCAAGGTCGCTCCATGCAAGGATACTGCTTGCGACAACGAGGTGCTGAAACGTTTGTTAGTGCAGCTATCTGACTATGAAACCTAGCTTATCAGTTTACCGTCTGTTGTATGGTGACCCCAATACGTTACGTAGGGCAGGTGTGGCCGCAGTGATGATCTGCTTCATGAACATCTTTTCCCTGTAGTTCTTGCTTGACACAAATCATCATGATGCAAAGGCAGGTTCAACTACTATAGTGCATTCTGTATGTTTTATGCAGTATCATCTTCTAGTATAGCAGAGTACATTCATCATATAATATTATACCATACTGGCCTCAATATGGCTTTGGGGCATATCATATTATAACTATAAATGACTCTGACGAAGGGGAACTTCAAAATTGTATAGGTAAGTATTTAGGCCCCTACACTAATTCCTCAAAGAAATGGGACGGACCGAAAGTCTCTAGTTGGATGGCCCGCAGAGAGAAAAAGGATCCACCCAGGAAAAGCAGGGGAGTTTGGGGTTTAGGGGGACTGAAATCTGCAAAAACCCGCCTTGAAGCAAGACCTCAGGTGCCGCTTTCTTCTTCTCCATCTAGCGAGCTGCACCCGGTGCAGCGAACACCTCATCAGGGCGTTTGTAAGTTGGCATTGACTCATCCGCAATACACCTCAGGCTCTGAAGAGCCCGACAGTGCACAATAGTATAGTCGAATACTATACTGACTATACTTTGAATAGAGTAGAACATTGTACTTACTATACGACAAAAAATAGAATACTGTACTTACTATACTTAAACAATACGACCCTGAGAAGCCAGGCCCCGGGCAGGAGGTGCCCCGACGCGCGCAGCGCCCCCAAGAGCTGCCGCGTCCGGCGCTGCTGGCGTAACCGTGCCACCCGCTTGAGGCACCACCTGGTATAGCATAGCCTGGTATGATCTAGTATAGTATAATGAACTAGTATATTCTAGTATAGCATAGTATAGACTAATATAGTCTAGCATAGCCTAGTTTACAACAGTCTAGTATAGTACCTGCCGGTGGGCACACTTCTTTTGATTGGTTCGAGACGCTGCCCCCAACAAAGCTATGCGTAAGGGTGTGCATCTGACGCTGAGTTTCTGCTGCGTTCTGCATGCGGAAGCCAAGGCCAAAGCCTTCGCAAAACTTGTAGCCTGGGCCCCGGACACGAATTGACTCACCGCACGAAATTTGGCACGCAGCTGCCCAGCTCGCCGCTGCAGCCGCACGCTGCGAACTCGACCAAGAAGCTGCCTGACGTGAACGCACGTTAGGAGTAAAAAATGGCTCGGAGCCTCTACTCGGAAGAGGAAGAGTTTACTAACATGCATTCGCATTTGCGGTCAAGGAGCTGGGAGGTTGTGAATGACATGCATAACATTCTTACGTGCATCTTGTCAGGTCCCTCACATCTTACGAGTACTGCAAGGGCTTGGGAGCCGGCAACAGCCACCCGGAGGCACGGAACGCGGCGACGAGGCGGCGTCGACGCTTAAGCCGCATCTCGCGTCGATGACGGCTGAGCTGATACCTCAAAGTCGACATGCAATTCTGAGATTCGCTTGTAGAGAGGGTTGTCTAAGTTGCACCGTCATCTTGACAGCTTTGGGTTTTGAGGCTCGCGGCTTGACAGGCATTGGCTGCTACCCAAACTGTCGCCAGTATGGCCAGGATTGCGCTACATGACAAATCCTACGACTTTTCTGACTGTGTGAGAGATCTCCACCTGTCGAAGATGATTGCTATAGCTTCTGCTAACATCTATATTTGCAAGCCGCTTAGCCTCTAGCCTTGACCCAAAAAGCACTTCTAGCACCCTGTCGGCTAGAGGATGAGCATACAAAGCAGGTAGGTTGCAACTGAGCTTCTATATGCACCTGGGCTCTTAAGAAGGCGACTGTAACTTTATAACGCTCAGCTGTTACAACTTACTTACCAAGTACACTGATCCTGGAAACTCTACAAGGGCTTTCATCACTAGAACATAGTCGAACCGAGTTTGGGTTTACGGTATAACATTGTGCAAATACATGTATTTATATATATATATATATATATATACACACCATACGGGGGTTGAGGGGAATACTACTACTGCACCCCTACTCGTATTAGAGCGCGTATACACCGATTCCAAAGTTAACAGATCCCTACATTGGAAATTGTTTCAACCCCTTTATAAGCAAAATTGGGGCCGGGGCGAAAAAGAACAGGGAGCCCTTCGGAAAGCTATCACTAATCCTTCTTCTGCCGTTGTGTCAGGAGTGCCTTCGCTTCCGTTACTTGCTGGATAATGGGACGTTATAAATACGGTAACTGTACTTAAAATTACTTGTAACACCAATTAAGTTACCTATAACCTTACTTACTATGTCTAATAAGTCTAATGATCCTCCATGTAAGCTCGCGACACGATGGCTGCAGCTGCGCGCCAGAGACCCCTAAGCTGGCGCTTGCGGCGCCTTTTCTGCACCTGGCCCGGCGGAGCTTTAAAGGGAACTCCAGAAAGTTGGAATACGGACTAATGGTAGGATCCCCTATAATTTACCTTAAAGGGGTTACGATAATGATATTCCAACTTTCTGGCTTCTACTGTAGGGGGTTTCAGGGCTTAGGGTTAGTTTTAGGGTTTTGGGCGGTCAGGGGTTCTCCGTCTGCTGAAGCCACAGGTGGAAGCTGTAGCTCCCTTGGGGCCTTGGAAAGGGCCAAGAGGCTTCGAAGATTTTACCTCTCGGCGAGACTGACCTGAAGGATCCTGAGAATCGTGTCTGCTACGAGCCGATGAAGGCTGAAGAGCAGCCCGCCTCGTCTTTGACTCCCTGGTAGCGACGCCATCTTGCTTGCATGGCCTGGGCTCAGCCATGCCAAAGAAGCCCCTTACAGAGCCAGGAAAACCTCACTAAACCTCAGGACTCGGGCGATGAGCTTGGCTTTCGCCGCCTGAAACCGCCGGACAGCCACCCGAGCCTCGGCGCGCTTGGGGCCCGACAGCTTGGGGTTTCGACAGGAGACGAGCCACAAAAAAAAATATCATAAGACCGCACGAAGTCAAGTCTAGCACCGCACCCCAGACAGGACAAGGTGTCAAAGCGTGAACCAGGCTTTCGCGCCTTGGCTTGTCTCGATGCTCGAGTCTCTTAAGGCTCTCGGGTAAGGGCTTAGCACCAGCTGGAGATGCCCATGTCGCAAGGGGGGAGGGGGGGTCGCAAAAAAAAAAAACACATAAATTACCCGACCCCCTGTAGCCGTGGCCCATGGCCCCAAGGCTTCAGAAGCAAGGAAGCGTGCTGCAGACAGGAGCGCTCCTCTTTTGCCGCGAGAGAGATCAAGCGATCCATAGGGCTTCCTTGAAAGGGATCTATAAGGGTTCTACCGGTGGATTTAGGGTTTTGGGCTTTAGGGATTTTTAGGGCCTCAGTAGATCCACGGCTCAGAAACGCCGAGAGACTGGCGCAGGCACGGCATGCATCGAAGCAGAAGAAGACATGGAGCCGATTCTGAAAACACCTAACACTGCCGAGCTGCCCTCTCTACAGTTAGAATAAGGCTTGGGTATTGTAGCATGGGTTTATGCTACCTATATGGACTAATTATAAGGGAATACTATTTCGAAACCTTTTTTAAAGCCAAAGCCCAGAGAAATCCAAAAGCCCGCAAATTCTCGCCTCGAAATCCTTCTGCCGCAGCAGGGAGACTCCCTCTATCAAGTCTGCGGCAACCTGCGGATCGCAGCGGGCTTGCTTCAGCTCGCAACGCTTTCCTCTTGCATGATCGGTATGTCCTGTGACCAAAACTTCTCTGAGCCGCAAGCAATATCGACATCCTTCTCCGTGCAGTAGCCTCAGACGCAATAATGACAGGACTGAGCGGTCCTCATGTGTGCAGCGATAGCTCTCATCCGACGTGCCCATCATAGTTCCCTTGTTTCTGCACCTACGAAATTAGAAGTGAGCTGGTTTGGCAACGCAAGGCTTGTACAAAGAACTCGTGCCGGAGGTTCGCTCGCCTTCGGCGCTCGGCCTCTCTAAGCACATGATGAGCGTTGCTTGGCCGGAGATGGGCCAGACAATTTTTATTGACGTAAAAGATCAAGCACGCAGGCGGAAGACCCAGAAGCCACTCCCCGATTAAGACCTAGACCCAACACCGCAGGGTCGTGCCAACCGTGCTGAATCAGGTTTGCCAGGAAAGGCCTTCAAAGAAGCCCCCCTGACGAGTCCCGAAGAACCAAAACTGATTGAATTGTGCAAAGCGGTCCGGCTGAGCAGCCTCCCTATCTACGCTAGTTGAACATCCTTCTTCTCCTAGGCGGCCTCTTTCACGTCCAAGTTCACAATGTCCGGCTTCGACATCGCGGCATCCTCTTCCTCGTCCTGACCTGGGATGCCATCCAGCTGCTTCAGCTCATCCTCGGTGAACATGAACCTCATGGCCTTGCGGATGATGGCCAGGGAGGCCATGAAGAACGGGAACACCACCGACGTTTCCTTGATTGCTTTCAACCCATACAGAATGCCAAGACAAATGACCTGGACGACGGTGTACAGGTGCACTCGGCTAATAGGCAGCTTCTGGATGTAGTGGTACTGCGGGTACTTCGCCGGGTCCCAGATGAGCCACAGCTTCAAACGGTCGAAAAGGTTGTTGCCGGTCAGGCTCGCGATTCCCATGTAGAAGAACACGCCCTGCAGCACGGCCCGGGGCAGGAACTTCAGCACTGGTGCCAGGAAGAGTGCTGAGCCAATGAGCACGTGAATCCTTAGTTGCTGGGTTCATAGTTCATAAGATTCATAAGCCCAAACAAGTAAAGTGTAAAATCAGTTCTACAGATAGTGGATAAGATAGATGTAAAGCGTACTTATTCAGCTACTAAGGTTCAGGAAGTTGGTAGCACGCTGTTCCACCACCTTCGTGGGCACCTTGCGCTCACCTTCCGGAAGCTGCTTCACCTCGTAAGTGGTCAACGAGATTACGTGGGTGATACTCGGCACCGTGGAGGCCACGGACAGCGGCAGGCCCAGCACAGCACAGACAGGCAGCGTGAGCGCTCCCCGAACAAACCTGAGACCCTCTTAAGGAGGAAAAGACACGAAGATGCTTTTTGTGGACCCCTTACTAAGATACCGAAACCCCAAGCCTAAAAATTCAAAAGGGACTCTAACTTATCTGAAGCTGCAAGTCCAGGTGGTACGCAGCCGGCTTCTTCAGACCGTTGGAGGGTCTGTTCACGATCACACTGGTGAGATTCTGATCCAGGTAACCTAACACTGCGAAGCCAATCGCCTCGGTTGTGATTGAAGTGAAGCTAGTTGCTTGAGGTGACGCTAGTTGCGAATATGCTCGCCTACAACCTTGTAGCCTCAATCTACAAGGGACCAGAAGCATGTCCTCTTATCAAGCCGCCGGAAGGATCGCATAAGCAATGCCCCAAGCGGGGAAAGGGCGGTCCATGCCGGCGGGATTAATGATCCACGGCCGCTTGCTGCCATCGGACAAGCTCAAGTTTGGCGAGAAGTCTGCGTCCACCTGCAACATCCTCAGGCCTGTGTCGTTGGAGTAAATGGCAGCCAAAGCCGAGCCACTCACCAAGGCGATGGTCACTGCGAAATTGGCCGCAAAGTTGCGAACGAATCGGAAAGTCCAGGGGCTTCGGCGGAAGCTGGACAAGTATGTTGCCAAACCAAATGTCCAGATGAACAAGAGGGCTTCAAACATGCAGTTCGTCAGCGTCAGCCTGCTTTCCGTGAAATTCTCGATGATTGGCCGGGCTCCGTCGATGATGAAGATCAGCGAGATTAATCCTAGACTGTTCAGTAAGTTCAGTAACCCCAATTGCTTCTTCAGATTCAGGCTTGTTATATTGTAGTCGGAAACCAGAATATCAAAAACAAACCTGCATCACTGCACAGGCTAGAATCCTGCGAAGATGTCTTCGCTGAACATAGTCACGTGCTTCATGAGCGCGCACAAATCGAAGACCGCCACCAGGACGGTGAAGAGGGAGCACCACATGCATGTCCAGAAATAAAACGGCATGAATTCCACGTCCACGGCAACTGCCAAGTCATAGACGACAAGCGTATAAGCCAAGAACGGACCGGTAGCACCCAAAATCGAAAGGGGTTGGCCGGAAAATGTTGAGAAGATCAAGCCGCTGATACATGTGCTCATAATCATTTCCATCACTCCGAACTGGCCGTTCGTGCCGTCAAGGAACCGACTGCCGAACGTAATCGCAGGGGCAAGGGCTGCGATGAACCTTACTGCCACGACTGGAAAATACCCAAAAAGAAACACTACACTTCCGGAATTGTAGCACTCTAGAAGAATTCACTAGCTTCAGAGAAAGGTTTGCATATTGCCAGACGAAGGAACAGATACAAGATGGACGACACCGATTTCTGGAAGTTCTCCGGTTTGAAGGCATCCGTCCAATCACTGCAATAAAGCGGCGCTCGCCTGCGGATATCGAGTCGCAGGCCCCCACCAAGCTTGCCAGTGAAGTCTAAAGGCCCGTAATCCTTCTTGGGTGCATGCGCGATGTTTCCGGACTCGTAGCGGTACACAGCCTCGGCCTCCGCCATGATAGAGAGGTTGGGGTCGTTATGAACGAAGGGAGAACTAAGGCTAGTGCCGAAGGACCTCGAGCCAAAGACGCATTGGGTTTTCCCTCGAGTTGCGGCCAGAACAATCTCCGAGGATTAAAAGAAACCAAGTGGGAAGGACAACATGTCAGTCAGGCAATCCACTGGCACGTGATTTCCCAGAAGACTACCGCCCATTTTCCGCACATAATGTGGAGTGAGCTGGTTTGGCAACGCAAGGCTTGTACAAAGAACTTGTGCAGGAGGTTCGCTCGCCTTCGGCGTTCGGCCTCTCTAAGCACATGATGAGCGTTGCTTGGCCGGAGATGGGCCAGACAAATTTTATTGACGTAAAAGATCAAGCACGCAGGCGGAAGACCCAGAAGCCACTTCCTGATTAAGAGCTAGACCCAACACCACAGGGTCGTGCCAACCGTGCTGAATCAGGTTTGCCAGGAAAGGCCTTCAAAGAAGGGCTTCGCTGACGAGTCCCGAAGAACCAAAACTGATTGAATTGTGCAAAGCGGTCCGGCTGAGCAGCCTCCCTATCTACGCTAGTTGAACATCCTTCTTCTCCTAGGCGGCCTCTTTCACGTCCAAGTTCACAATGTCCGGCTTCGACATCGCGGCATCCTCTTCCTCGTCCTGACCTGGGATGCCATCCAGCTGCTTCAGCTCATCCTCGGTGAACATGAACCTCATGGCCTTGCGGATGATGGCCAGGGAGGCCATGAAGAACGGGAACACCACCGACGTTTCCTTGATGGCTTTCAACCCATACAGAATGCCAAGACAGATGACCTGGACGACGGTGTACAGGTGCACTCGGCTAATAGGCAGCTTCTGGATGTAGTGGTACTGCGGGTACTTCGCCGGGTCCCAGATGAGCCACAGCTTCAAACGGTCGAAAAGGTTGTTGCCGGTCAGGCTCGCGATTCCCATGTAGAAGAACACGCCCTGCAGCACGGCCCGGGGCAGGAACTTCAGCACTGGTGCCAGGAAGAGTGCTGAGCCAATGAGCACGTGAATCCTTAGTTGCTGGGTTCATAGTTCATAAGATTCATAAGCCCAAACAAGGAAAGTGTAAATTCAGTTCTACAGATAGTGGATAATATAGGTGTAAAGCGTACTCATTCACCTACTAAGCTTCAAGAAGTTGGTAGCACGCTGTTCCACCACCTTCGTAGGCACCTTGCGCTCTCCTTCCGGAAGCTGCTTCACCTCGTAAGTGGTCAACGAGATTACGTGGGTGATACTCGGCACCGTGGAGGCCACGGACAGCGGCAGGCCCAGCACAGCACAGACAGGCAGCGTGAGCGCTCCCCGAACAAACCTGAGACCCTCTTAAGGAGGAAAAGACAAGAAGATGTTTTTTGTGGACCC